TGCGGGGAGAAGGGTGCAACAATGAATGAATGGAATCCCAAAATCTCTGTAGATGTTCATTGAAATGAAAAATAAACAACCTAAATTAAAAAAAAAGTTTGGTATAATTGCCTCCCTAAGAGCAGAATGTTTTTATTTCCTGTTTTAGCAAATTCTGTTTTAAGTTTATTGGAGTTCTTGGGCGGCACAAGTGTTTAAGTAAGTGTTCCATTGCTAACTAAAATGTATACCCAGAAGAATACGTAAAAAAAGCAGACATTGGAAAACTTTGGAGCAAACTTCTACTATGATTCAGTAATCCAAATGGGGTCTACATGGGTCTGACTAAATTGCAGCTATATATTTATATTATTATTATTATTGCCTCTATGACCTGTGCATGCTTGGAAGAAATCCATGTCTCTGAATGCAGAGGGAATCTGCTCACTAACTGCCACAATAATAGCTATTATTTGCTGAGCATGTACTTGATATGTGCTGGTAGCCTAGGGGCAAGGAGTTGCCTATCAATGCAAAGGCACAGCACACAATTAGAGTTTACCAAGTGTTCCATAGGCAAAAGATGAGCAATCACCTCTCATGCTGTTTATAGATTCTGAAAACCACTAGAGTGTCAGCTATGAATGAATTCCAACTCTACAGCACATGGCAAAAAAATGTTTAAATGCATTAATTTGTTTAATACAGCAAACTTTAGGGGGAGTGCTATTATTATCCCATTACACAAGTGAAGTACTCAAGCTTCAATAAGGTTTCCTACCTTACCCAAAGGTATACATCTGGTAGTTGCAGTGCCAGGGTACAAATCTAGATTGTCTTACTCCAGTGGCTGGTCATTCAATTCTGCTGCCTTTCATTAACTACAGAAAATAACTCAGATTTTAGGAGTCCCGCATTTTCATTACCTTTTCATGCAAGGTCTAAACAACAGTAATTACAATAATGTTGTAGAAATAACATTATTGTTTGAGTTAGACTTGGTATTGTGCTATCAAGTGATGGGAGGAGTACTTTTAAGGCTGATCTCAAACCCACTCCATTGTATTGCGCTTTCCCCTCTAGTCAATAATAGTTTAGGAAGAGCTCATGGTTTTTATGGTCATACTAAATTATTAGAAGAGCCCTATATTTAGGTATTGAAAAATCTGTTCCAATATAGATCTACTGTTGTTGTTGTTGTTGTTGTTGTTGATTGCCTTTGAGTAACACATGACACATAGCAACTTTATAAACAAAAGACCTAATGTCTTTCCATAACAATTGTCATTTCTCCAAGTTCATAGACTTTCCAGAGGCATGTGGTTTAGGAAGTGGGTGCCACTCCTGCTTCCAAACCTGTTTTACAACTGGGAGCTCCACACAACAGTGTCCACATTGGGAACAATTCCAGTATTTGATATCCCAATGGCACAAGGTTCATCATCACATCAAACCCAGGTTACTTCATACAGCATATTGACAATGAGTGATGTACAAAGTGGAAGAATGTTCCTCCAGATATAACAGCATTAGTCTCACTTAGCAGTGGTTAAGTGTTGTCAAATCAAATATGACTGAGAGTAAGCTTTGCACAAAAGACCTGAACTCTGTTCTGTAACTAACATCATTTCTGTACATTTATAGAGTTTAGAGTTTGTAGAGTTTCCAGACACATGTAGTTTAGGAAGTGGATGGCATTCCTGTTTCCCAGCATAAATCAATCTGGAAGCTCATCCAAACTACACCTTCATTTTATTTCCACTTTAAATACTCTCTATTTCTTAATACTGAGCTCTGGTGGCCTTGTGATCTGCTAATGCAAAATAGTTTGAATCCACCAGCTGCTTCAAGGGAGAAGTATGAGCAGTGACTTTCCGTGACATTTATAGCCTCTGAAAACCCACTGGAGGGTCAACTATGAGTCTGTTCTGACTCACCAACAGTAAGTGAGTGTATTCTCTAACAGAAGAGAAAAAAAAACCTCTTCATTCTACTTGTTTTACCACTTTTTTACCATGTGGGTACTGGTTTGAGGGACAGAGAATGAATGTAATAAAATATAAAATATACTTTACCATAGATGTCTTCATAATCTTAATACACTGTCAACAGCAATTGCACAAATGGCAGGTCACCATGTGGTGAGCCCCAACATATTAATTAGACAAAGCTCTTTAAAAACTCAATTCAAAATTTTAAAATCTAGAGGAAATGGACAAATTCCTTGAAACTTATGACCTATCCAGACTGAAAAGGACAGATAGAGAACACTTGAACAGGTCCATCACAGAAGAAGAAATTGAAAGGTCATAAAATGGCTTTCCTATAAGAAAAGTTCTGGGCCAGATGGCTTCACAGCTGAATCTATCAAACATTCAGAGAGGATCTATCACCAATTCTACTTAAATTATTTCAAAAAAATTGAAAAAGAAGGAACATTCCTAGAGTCATTCTGTGAAGCAAGCATAACCCTAATACCTCATCAGGCAAAGATATTACCAAGAAAGAAAACTATAGAATAATATCTCTCATGAATATAGGTGCAAAAGTCCTTAACAAAATCCTAGCCAATCGAATCCAAAAGCATATTTAAAAAAATACTTCATCATGATTCATACCAGATATGCAAGGATGGCTCAACAAATGAAAAACAATAAACATAATTCATTATGTTAACAAAGCGAATACCAAGAACCATATGATCTTAGCAATTGAAGCATAAAAGGCATTTGACAAAATCCAACACCCTTTCCTGATAGACACTCAGCAAAATTGGAATAGATGGGAATTCCCGCAACATAGTCAAATGTATATATGCAAAACCAAGAGCCAATATCATTCTCAATGGAGAAAGACTGAAACTATTTTCCTTGTGACTAGGAAACAGACAAGAATGCTCACTGACACCACTTCTATTCAATATTGTATTGAAAGTGCGTGCTAGGACAATATGACAAGAGAAGGAAAGAAAAGGCATCTAGATCAGCAGAGAAATGGTTAAACTATCACTATATGCAAATTATACGATCGTGTACACAGAAAACCCCAAAGACAACAACAAAAAAAAAAACTATTAGGGCTAGTAAACAAATTGAGTAGAGTGGAGGGATATAAAATCATTATCTAAGAATCAGTGGGATTCCTCTACAGTAACAAAGATAACTCAGAGAGAGAAAGCAAAAAAGCAAACCATTTACAATAGTCAACCACAAAATGAGATACTTGAGAGTGAACCTAATTAGAGATGTAAAAGAAATATACCAAAAAAAAACTCCTACAGAACATTTCTTTCTGCAAGACACAGTAAAAGACAAAGAAATGGAAAAATATACCCTATTCATGGAAGGGAAGACTTAATATTGTAAAAATGACATCCAACCAAACTCAATCTACATGTTCAATGCAATCCCAATCCAGATACCAAATTAGTTTTTCAAGGAGATCGAAAGGGAAATGGTCAAGTTTATTTGGAGAGGCAAGAGACCCCAAAATAAGCAGAGCACTTCTGAAAAACAAAAATGAAGTGGGAAGTAGAGTACTTCCTGACCTCAAAAGCTACTACACTCTGCTAGTAACCAAAACAGCATGGTACTGATACAACAGTAGGCACATAGACCAATGGAACAGAATTGAGAACCCAGACATAGACCCAGCTATCTATGGTCAACTGATATTCAGCAATGGGAAAAACCTATCAAATAGGTAAATGACAACCTCTTCAAGAAATGGTGCTGGCAAAACTAGAGTGCGTCCTGCAGAAAGCTGAAACAGGATCCACATCTTACATAATACACAAAAATCAGCTCAAGGAGGATCAGATACCTGGAAGTAAAGCCCAAACCCATAAAGCTCATCAGAGACAAACTGGGATTAAGCTTAGAGAGCCTCATCTATGATATAAAGAGACTGTCAAATACATCAAGAAATGCTCAATCTGGAGAGGATAAAATTGATGAATGGGACCTTCTGAAGATTAAATCCCTGTTCGCATCAAAAACATTTTCCAATAGAGTGAAAAGAAAACCTAGTGACTTGGAAAAATATTTGGCAATACCATTTCAGACAAGAATCTCATATCAAAAGTTTACAGACTCCTACAGGGATTCCATAAGAAAAAGACTGATAAAACAATTACAAAATGGGCAAAAGACATGGAAAGAATTTTCACAGAGGAAGATATGCAGATGGCCAAAAGACACATGAAAAAATGCTCAAAATTACCAACAATGAGAGGTGCAAATTGAAACCACAATGAAATACCATCTCACTCCAGTAGCAGTGGCAAAGTTTAACAGAACAGCAAACAATAAATGTTGGAAAGGATGTGGCAAGATAGGAACTCTGATGCGTTGGTGGGATTGTAAAATGGTACAACCACTCCGGAAGGTAGTTTGATGCTTCTTCAAAAAGCTGAGCCTAGAAATTCCATTTGACCCAACTATTCTGCCATTTGGAATATGCTCTGAAAAATGAGAACTGAGGCACAAATGGAGACTTGTACACCAATGTTCATAGCAGTATTATTCTTCATCTCAAGAATGTGGAAACAGCCCAGATGTCTGCCCTCAATCCAATGGATTGAGAAATTATGGTACATTCATATGACGGAATACTACGCAACATGCCGGAGCAATGATTTTGTAAATTACTCCCTAACTTGGATGAGACTGGAGAGCATTATGCCAAGTGAGTTAATTTAGTCTCATAAGGACAAATATTGTATAAGGCCATTATTGTAGAATAAGTATGAGAATCTAAGGCAGGGAGAAGGTAGCAGAGAGGTGAGGATGGGCTGGGTGTGGGAGGGTTGGGTTTAATCATAGGGTTGCACAATTTTTGGGGGTAAGGTGGTGAGGGAAATAAGAAAGACCTAGTTTTAAAAACAATGAATACAAACTTTTTAAATAAACCAGTATAAACTGGAAAAAGGAAAGTAGGTAGTGCAAAAATGAATGAATGGGAATCCAAAATCTCTGTAAACATTCATTAAAATTAATAAAAGAAGGAATATTTAAAAAAAATTTTTAAAAAGGAAAATAGGTAGTAGGGGAAAAAACCCAAAACTCAATGCACTCACCTCCCATAGTACCCCTTGCCTTTACTAAGCACTAGATGCATAGGTAACTGCTTCTGCAGTGGTCTCCTCACCCCAGCAAGATCTTCCATCACCTGTCTTTAGACTTTTCTAGATAGAAAGGGAGATCTGGTGGCTCCGTCCTAAGGAACTGTGCCCCCAACCCAAAGGCATGAGGTTTGAGACCACCAGTTGCTCTGTGGGAGAAATATGTGAAATCTTCTCCTGTCTGACTTACTGCCTCTGAAAACCCACTGGTAGGTCAGCCATGAGTCAGTTCTGACTCAATGGCACATAAAAATAGCAGACAGATAAGGAACCCTGGTGGCCTAGGGGTAAGAAGCTGCCTGCCACCCCAAAGGTTGATGTTTCAAACTCATCAGCTGTTCTGCAGGGGGAAAATGAGCAATCTTCTTCCATGTGATTTACAGCCTCTGAAAACCCCTTGGAGGATCAGGTATGAATCTGTTCTGACTTGATGGCACATGATACCACTAGCAGACATAGTCAGAAGGTACCTATGAGGCATAAATAGTTTTCTATTTCTATTTCTATAGTTTCTAACCCAAAGTGTGAGGTTCAAACCTACCCAGCAGTTCCAAAGGAGAGAAAAAAATAAAAGCCTGGAGAAATATATTCATAGGTTCCCCAGCCAAGAAAACCTGTGGAGATAGTCTACTCTGTAACATAGAGTTGCCTTGAGTCAGAATCAGCTCAAAGGCAACGGATTTAGAAAAAAAAGTCAGACATCCAGCACTTGGGTCCACAGGTCAAGCTCTTTCAAGAGCTACTGCTCACTCTCTCCCATGCTATGCTATCTTCATAGCATGATGTCATGTAGCCTGGGAGTAGATCCATTCACTTAGAGATGTGGGAAGGTGGAATAGTGTGGACCTTGCAAATCATAACATTCCATCAGGGATATCAATCTCAACATGCATCAGAATGAACCTAGATTGGTGAGAGAATCTTGGAGTAAGATTTGAACACTCAGTTTCACTTCCAACAAGCTGCCTGAATTTGGATAAGCTACTTAAGTTATTAAAAAGCAAGTGATATTTAAGTGGTCATCAATGAATTCTTCAGATACATGGAGAAACCAGGAATATTGACCAAGCATTTTCTCCTCTAGTGTTCAGGGTGATGTATTATGCACTTGTATATTCTTGACTGGGAGATGTTATTTTCCCTCAACTTTACCAACAAATGCCTTCTATGGGCAATTATTTAATGATATGCTCTATTTCCTTTTTTTCATTCAGGAACCTATCATTGTATATTTAGAGTTAATAATTCATACAGCATCGCCACCGGGGATGTCACTGTCTACCCACTGCCTCTGGAGTCAGATATCAGGATTGATCCTTTGGAAGATGTCATTCCATGCAAAGGTTCTCACAGTTTCAAATGCTGCGTAGAGGAAAAGGAAGACTACAAAGTTACTTTCCAGATGGATTCCTTTTTCTTTCCTGCTGGTAAGTAGACAATTGCTGGGTTTGGGGGGGTAATATTTCACATATATAGAGCCCAGAAAGTTACTCTTCTAGACTAAGGGACAGTGTCAGAAACAAAATAGAAAAATAGAGTCCTATGAAATTGTTTTCTTCTACACTGCATTGGTTTATATATAATGTCTTGGAAGTTGAGGGAGCAATATTAGGACACCTTTAGATTTTCCCTTACTCAGTATGACAAACTAGATATAGCCTGATAAGCTTTCTTCTATGAAACACCTGTTGTTATATGCAGTCAAGTCGCCTGTGACTCATCATGACCATACGTACAGTAACTCTGAACCCTGCCCTAACTTAAGCCAATTTCAACTCTCTCCAACACACCTACCCCCATTACCCCAATTACTAAATCACTCTATTTTATCCTCTCTTGTGCTGTCCCTCCACCCTTCCAAGCATGATGCTGTTCTTCAAGAACTGGTCCCTCCTGGTCACATGCCCAAATTATATGAGATGGAGTGTCAAAATCCTTGCCTCCAAAAAGCAGCTCTGTATTACCCTTTCCAAGACAGACTTGTTTGTTCTCTTAGCAGTCCACAGTATGTTCAATACTCTTCTTCAGCACCACGATTCAAAAGCATCGATTCTTCTTCTATTACACTTATTATCTAAGTTATTGTCCAGTTATCTGATGCATAGCAAGTAACTGCAAAGGCCATTAAAACACATGAAAAACCTAAGAAAGCTATAAAAATAACACAAAAAGTATTTTAAATGCATAGCTACACAGGCAAGAAAGTAAGAAAATTGGCCAAGGGCCAAAAAACATAAAAAGAAAGATAAATAAAGTTATAAACTATGTCTAATGATGAGTTTCCTAAACATAAACCAATTATCAGAAATCTAGAATCTTAGGTTTTAAAGTGCTAAAGATTTGAACTGCCAAAAGTTTAAATAGAACTTAAAAGAGGCTGTGGCACCAGAGATACCATTACTGATGTCAGATGGATCCTGGTTGAAAGCAAACAATACCAAAAGAATGATGTCTATTTGTGCTTTATTGACTATGCCAGGGCATTTAACTGTATGAATCATAACAAATTATGGCTAACATTGAAAAGAATAGAAATCTCAGAACACTTAATCGTGTTAATGTTAAATCTATACCTAGACTAAGAAGCTGTTATACGAACAGAGCAACGAAACAAAATACTGGATTGTGAATGTCAAGGAAACACTAAAATTAGATATGAATTATAGTGTTTGAAAAGAAAAGAATATAAAGAATATATATTTGTATAATATTTTGAAAATAGATAAACTATTTGCTTTTTTAAAATGTTTTTAAAGCCTTTGAGTTCTTACAAATATCTTTTTTTTTTATACTATGAAGATTGGCCAATGTTCCATGGAGATTCCATTTATGGACCAAAGACTTTAAGTAAAAATTTCAGAAAATTAATTGGGTGAACAGAAAAAGCTTAGAATTTGACATTGTTTTACAACTTATTAGTATTTCTTTTGGTTTCTGAACTAAAAAAATGTAAGTATCTTGTGTTTAGAATATGATTAGAAATGGATATTTTTTTTTCACAATTCTCAGAATTTTCCAGCAATCTAAAAAAAAAAAAAACCTGTAAAAGTTTTAAAGTAATAAATCAGCACTATGGAGGTTTGGGATTACAAAAGAAATAAAATTAAGCAAAGCATGCACCAGCATTGTATCCTTTCACCATACTTATTCAATTTGTACGCTGAACAAATTATTTGTGACGCTGGACTCTATGAAGAAGAATGTGGCATTGAGATTAGAGGAAGATTCACCAGGTTGTGCCAAGAAATCTGGAGAACTACTACCTGGCCAACTGACTGGAAGAAACCTATATTTATTCCCATTCCAAAAGGTGATCCATGGGAATGTGGAAATTATTGAACAATATCATTATTATCACACGCAAGCAAGATCCTGCTGAAGATTATCCAAAAATAACTAGAACAGCACATCAGCAGAGAACTGCTTGCTGTGCAAGCTGGGTTTAGGAGAGGCTGTGATATTAGGGATGTTATAGCTAATATTAGATGGATCTTAGCTGAAAGCAGAGAGTACCAGAGGAATGTCTGTGTTTCACTGACTATGCAAAGACATTTATCTGTCTGGATTACAGCAAATCATGGTTAACCTTGAGAAAAATGGGAATTCCAGAACACTTGTTTGTGCTCATGTGAAACCTATACTTGGACCATGAGGCAATAGTCAGAACAGAGCAAGGAAACTCTGCATGGTTCACTATCAGGGAAGGTGTACATCAGAGATGCATCCTATCTCAATACTTTTTCAATCTATGCGGAACAGATCATCAGAGAGGCCGGGTTCTACAAGGAGGAATGTGGCATCAGGATTGAAGGAAGACTCATCAACAACCTATGTTATGCAGATGATGCAACCTTGCTTGCTGAATCTGAGAAGAAATTGAGGTATTTGCTGCAGAAGGTCAAGGATGGCAGTCTTCAATATTGATTGAAGCTCAACATCAAGAGAAAAAAAAATTTCTCACCACTGGGCCAATTGGCGGTATAGTGACAAATGGAGAAGAGATGAGATTATTAACAACTTTAGTTTGTTTGGCTCCACAATCAACACTCTGGATACCTGCACCCAGGAAATAAAAAACAAATTGCTCTGGGGAAACATGCTGCAGAGTACTGAAGAACAGCGATATTAATCTAAAGACTAAGATAAACCTGAGCCACGGCATTGTCTTCACAGGTACTTGGTATGCATCAGAAAGCTGGACAATAACTAAAGATGATAAAAGAATTCATGCTTTTAGTCATGGTGCTGGAAAAGAGTATTGAACATGCAATGTACTGCTAAGAGAACAAACAGGTATGTCTTGGAGAGGGGAAACCAGGCTGCCCCTTGGAGGCAAGGATTTTGAAGCTCCATCTGACATACTTTGGGCATGTTGCCAGTAGGGACCAATCCATGGAAAGGGACATCATGCTTGGAAAGATAGAGGGACAAAGCAAGAGAGGAGGACCCTAAATGAAATGGATAGTACGAGTGACCGGGGTAATGAGGATACATGTGTCAGAGATAGAGAAGGGTTCAGAGCTGTTGGATATAAGGTCTCTATGAGTGGTGAGCAACTCGATAGCATATAACAAAAACCAATAACCTGAGTTATACAGAGGACACAAGCTTGCTTGCTGAAAGTGAAGAAGACTTGAAAACACTTGCTGGAGAAGATCCAATACTGCAGCCTTCAGTGAGAATTGCATGTCAAAGTCATGAGAACCAAAAGTCACACCATGGGACCTACAGGCAACATTGTTGTTGTTGTTGTT